TGGTGCAGGTTTGGGTGTGCAGGGAGAGCTGGCAGGAAGCAGCAACTTGTTCCATGGACAGATTGCAGTGGGGGTACAATTAGAGACAGATTTGAGGGTTAGGCAGGGGATGGACGAAGGCAGTAGGGACAGAATGTGTTAGGAGAAAAAGCGAAGTGAATGGTAGGGGCAGAGACCACCACTGTCGGGGAGTCGAGGAGATGGTAACTGCACAGGTGGCAGGAAAGAGGAACAAGCTACGCAGAGAACACCTTAGGCTTAGAAAGATCAAATGTAGGGTGTTGACGGATATCCATATGGCTGAAGGAAAGCCTGCAGCTGGGGAAGAAGGCAGAGGAGGAAGGTACAAACTTGAAGAAAATCTCAGGAGAGACATAGGGTATCCTCCGACTTGGCAATACAAGGTAGCAAATTCTCCTAAGTACATTATTAAGAAGATCTATGAAAATTATCTACAAAAACATTCACGACGTGTAACAGAGTAGAAACATTTTATAAGCCAGATGACAGTGAAAAATGTCTAACAGTAGGGGCCTGGTTAACAACAAACTATGCTACACTCACACCATGAAATTCTATTCAAATAATAAAATGAATACTCTAAGTGAATAATTACTGACATGAAGAAATAGCCATGTTTTCTTAAGGAGAAAAAGGCAGATATTAAAACTATTTGTAGGATCCGGCAGCGTGGCCTAGCAGCTAAAGTCCTCACCTTGAACGCACCGGGATCCCATATGGGCGCCGGTTCTAATCCAGGCAGCTCCACTTCCCATCCAGCTCCCTGCTTGTGGCCTGGGAAAGCAGTCGATGATGGTCCAAAGCTTTGGGACCCTGCACCCATGTGGGAGACCCAAAAGAAGTTCCTGGATCCTGGCTTTGGATCGGCATAGCATCGGCCATTGCACTCACTTGGAGAGTGAATTATCGGACAGAAGATCTTCCTCTCTATCTCTCCTCCTCTCTGTATATCTGACTTTCCAATAAATAAATAAATCTTAAAAAAAAAAAAAACAAAACCTATTTGTAGAGTAAAAGTCCAGGGGCTGCTATTATGGTATAGCACATTAAGCTCCCACCTGCAATGCCAGCATCCCATGTGAGTGCCAGTTTCAGTCCTGGCTGCTCCAATTTCTATCCAGCTCCTTGCTAATGTACCTGGGAAAGCAGCAGAAGACGCTTGGGTCGCTACCACCCAGATGGGAGGTTTGGATGGAGGTCTAGATTCTTGGCTTTAATTCTGCTCATGTGGTCATCTGATGAATGAACCACCAGATAGAACATCTCATCTCTCTACCTCTCCCTCTCTTTCTCTTAACTTGGCCTTTCAAGTAAGTAAATCCTGAGAGAAAGTCCCAGTGATTGCTTAAGGACATGTTAATCCTGGTTCTTTCAAGGCGACATGATTATGAAAGAGTTCTCTTTTGTACATCAATCATACGTGGCTTTTGTTGAAAGGTGATAGTTCTAAAAAAAAAAAAATGACATGGGGAGAGGAGCTCAAGAAAGGAGAAAAGAAAGAATGAAACCTTGAAAACTAACTTTGTTCCCCCTGAATGCCTCTCTCATGGCTTAGTCCCTACCCGGCTGCATGGTAGAGAACTAAGAGCAGATGGCTACAAACTGTCCTCCGACAAACTTAAATATTTGGGGGGAGGTTCAGTCACTGCTTGTAACACCAGCCTCCCACATCTCTCCTTCTGATCCAGCTCCCTGTTATTGCTCAGGGGAAAGTGGTAGCGGACAGCCAGAGTAGCTGGGCCCCTGCCACAAAGTAGGAGACCCAGATGGAGTTCTGAGCTCCTGGCTTTGCCCTACTTCATTTTGTGGCCATTGTGGTTATTTAGGGGAATAAACAAGTGAATGTAAGATCTCTTTCAGTCTCTCCCTCTCTTTGGTACCCTTTCAAATAGAAAAAAAAAAAACTGGGAAAAATGTATAATTCATGAATTAGTGAGAGACAGAGAGCTCCCATCAACCCCTTCACTCTCCAAATGCCCACAAGGGGCTGAGCTCAAAACTGGAGCTGGGAACACTACCCAGTTCCCCCATGGGTGGCAGTGATCTGAGGACTTCTGGCTATCACCAAGTTCTCCCGGGTCTGTATGGGCAGACAGCTGGAGTGAGGGGTCAGGGCCACCAGCTGAACCAGGTGCTGACATGGGAGATGTGGCTCTCTCAGCCCCTAAGGGCCCACTCCCTTGGGCAAAGTTGGATTTTCTAAACCTCAATCTTCCCACCGTTGTCCTTTTCTCAGACTAGTTCTCTGATGTTACAGGAGGCTAAGGGTTAGGACTAGGCTTTTGCAGTGTATCCAATGGAGCAAACCAACTCATACGGAGTCACTCATGCTGAAGGTATGAGCAATCCACAACTCGGCTGATTCTGTGACCTTACCAGGGATCAGGAGAGAGAGGGAGAGAGAAAACAGGCCAGGTTTAGCTTGCACAATAAGGAACCCCCCTCTGCTTTAACCTTTACCAGGACCGTAACTGTGAAATGACCAATCTGCTTTTTGTGCTGTTCATGATCTCCCCAGTCTTTTCTGCCTAAAAAGCTAATCTCCTCTGCTCGGTTCATTGGAGCACATTCTATTTTACAGAGGGAGGGGTGCCCGATTCCAGCACCACAGACAAAAGCCAACTGTCATCTTTCCTTCTGTCATAGTTACGATTCTCAGCACTGACAATGAAGCCTTGACGGACATAGAGTAGTGGCCGCGTTCTGGTCCAGTTTCTATCTTTTTTTACTCGGGTCTCCTGGCTGAATTCTCGTTGGCTCTCCTGTGTCTTTTCTGCTCACGCTCACAGTGGGAAGTGATCGGATGCTGAACACCCACTGAGGCAATAACTGTATGACACGAGGGACCTGGAGGTGGTGGCCGGCTTCTCTCCCTCCTCGGCTCCTGGCAGGTGCCTGGACCCCAGTTTGGGCATTCCTTCATCCCGGGAGCACTCTCTGGGGTGCCTAGCAGTTGTGGAGCATGCTAGAATTCTTGTTGACTAAATTTATGTGGCTTCTTACAGCTTGGCTAATCAGGGGATTACTCAAAGGTTGGATTACTCAAGGGTGAGTTTACTCAGATCTCTTGGAATTTCTCTCCTCCCAGATTGTAACTTTGGCAAGATTTATCCTCCACCCTGGAGAGAGAGAGAGACTCAGACCTGGAGGCTCCCTGGTCCTCTCTGCCACTCGCTGGCTTCTAGCATGCAGGAGGCTCTCAGGCCATTCTCTTCAGGCTGTATCCTGCCACCATCTCTGCACCTCGCTGGGAAGCAGCGCGTCCTTCCTGCTAAGCCCTGGCCTGGCGCTGACCCAGTGGGTGACCCCCAAAAGTTGGTCAAGCTCTCTGAGCCTCAGTCTCCACATCTACCAACTGGGAACAAACACATGGGCACTGTATGCTGCCTCGTCGCGGCGCAGGGTTATTGGGCAGAAACAAAGGAGATTTTTTCCTTTTTTTTTTTTTTTTTTAAAGTGTGAACAAAGAGCTCTTGACAAACCCCAGGCGCGCCTGGTGCTGGGTATGTGTGTGCGCGCGTGCAAGAGAGCCTATGTAAGGGGGCTGCTCTCCGTAAACTCCCCACCGCAGCGTCCCTATCCGCCCCACCCTGGCGGCATCAGCCTCACCCACCGCATCACCATCTTTCCCATCGCAGTCTTTCTGCGCTTGGAAGATCCTCGGGCTGTAACTCCCCACCCCACCCCCGGCCATTTCCGGGGCCGGGCCCTCAAGGCAGCCCCTGGCCCCTGTAGGGATCCGGGGCTCCAGTTCCACGCGGCAGTCTCGGCCCGGCGCCCCCTCCTCTGGATCTGCCGCGGGGCAAGAGAATCGCCCAATAAGCGCGCCGGACTCCGGGCTGACAGCTCAGGCAGCGGCCAATCGAGCCCGGCCAGGGAAGGGGGCGCAGCGCTCGGCTGAAGTTGGGTAGAATGGTGGGAGGTGGATTAAAGGGGGATACAAAAGAGGGGCGCTAGGCCCTGGGTGCAAGAGCCTAAGCCGGGGACGGGGAGGGGGGACACTGCCGCCCTCCATCCACTTCATCCCCAGTAGGTCCGGCGAAGGGACCGCGGGAGTGGGGGGAACCAGGCTCTGGGAGCCAGGGAGGGGAGGGGAGAGGCGAGCATTTTAGGTGAGAGAAGTAGGGGCGTGCTGGGGTCCCCGCCGCCTGGCCAGAGGATGCCCGCGGGGCGCCGAGGCCGCGGCCGGGCCGAGGGCGGAGGCAGCGGCGCGCCGTTGTGAGCCGAGGCCCGAGCGGCGGCGCAGGGGGCGGGGAGGCGGCGGGAGGAGGGGATGCGGAGGGTGCTCTGGCGGCCGCGGCTAGCGAGCGAGCGAGCCGGGAGGAGCGGCGCGAGCGGCCGGAGAGGCGCAGGGCCCGAGGCGTGCATGGCGCGCCCTGAGCCGGGTTCCCGCGGGTCTCCCTCGGAGCGCCCCCGGGGCGCCGCGGCTCTCGGGCCGGCTCCCCTGGCCCGGCTGCCTCTGAGCCACTGCCCTCGCTCTCTGGAAGCTGTGCCCGCTGGGAGAAGCCCGCCTGCGTAAGGGCCGAACAGTCGCGGCGCCGCCGCCGGGCCGGATTCCGCCCTTGGCACAGCCGCTCTGCGCTCGCTGCCGCTGGCGGCCAGGAACTCGGGAGCTTGCAGAGCCGGCGCGGCAGCCCTCCCGGCCTGCGGGTCCCGGCCGGCCCCGCTCCACTCGCGGCGTGGTGGTGGTGGTGGGGGAGGCGAGAGGGGCAGGGCCGCGCTGCAGGAGCCGGTCATCGCCCCCGCCCCCTGCGCGGACGCGCCGAAGGCTCGGCTCGGCTTTCGCGGGAGCCACGCTCCCACTCTGGCTGCGGGAGGTGAGGGATGCGGGCAACTGCCTCGCCGGGCTCCAGGACCCTCCTCCCCGGGGCTCCGGAGCTCTTGCTCCGCCCGCCGCCCCCTCCCCCGTCCTCTCCCCACCCCGCCATCCCACCTCCCCACCCCTCTTAAGAAAATAATGCTGGCTGGCGCCCGCACCTCCCAGTCGCTCCCAGTGCGCCACGAGGAAAGCGCACCCGCTGCGTCTCCGTGCCGGGACACCAGCCGAGCCGCCCTCGCCGCTGCCTCGTCCGTGGAGCCGCTGAGCTTCGCTTAGGCGGAATCTACGAGTGCCGCGCCCGAGGGCACTGCCGGCTCCAGGGAAGGCGCCGCCCGCAAGGACACCTCTCCGTCCCGCCTGGTCCGCTACTCCGGCCCTCGTCGAGCCCCACCACGCGAGCTGCGAGTCCCGACGTCTCTGGGCGCGCGGGCGCAGCCGGCCCGAGCGAGTCCCTCTGCGGCATCCCCCTTCCCACCCCCGCTCAGAGCCAACTCCAGCTCGGACCTGGGACTCTCGACGCCGACTGTCAACTACTTCTCACCTCGGGGCTGTGCCTTCCTGCCCGCCCGCGCGTTCTCTCACTGTCCTCCTCCTCCGCTCAGGACGGGGGTGCCAAGATGCCCCGCTGCTGCCCAGGGCCCTGGGCCGCCCCCGACGTGTGACCCCAGCCTGGTCCCCCTGCTCGGCCGCCCGCCGTCCCCTTGGAGACCCTCGGCTCGGCCCCCGGGGGAGGAGGAAGACGACGAAGAGGCCGAGGGGGTGATGTCCGGCTCCAAAAGCGTCAGCCCCCCGGGCTACGCGGCGGCGCAGACAGCGACGGCGCCGGCATCCCGGGGAGGCCCCGAACATCGCTCAGCTTGGGGGGAGGCCGAGTCCCGCGCCAATGGCTACCCCCACGCCCCCGGGGGTTCTACCCGCGGCTCCACCAAGAAATCAGGGGGGCCGGTGACCCCGCAGCAGCAGCAGCAGCGCCTGGCCAACCGCTGGCGCGGGGGCGGCGAGGACGAGGATGAGCCCCCGCTGGGCGGCGACGACCCCCTGGTCGGGGGTTTCGGCTTTAGCTTCCGCTCCAAGTCCGCCTGGCAGGAGCGCGGCGGTGACGACTGCGGTCGCGGCAGCCGGCGGCAGCGGCGGGGCGCGGCCAGCGGGGGCAACTCGCGCGCGCCCCCTTCAGGCGGTGGCAGCTCGGCAGCGGCGACCGAGGCGGCCGCGAGCGGCACGGAGGTGCGTCCGCGGTCGGTGGAGCTGGGCCTGGAGGAGCGGCGAGGCAAGGGCCGCGCGGTGGACGACCTGGAGGCCGGCGCCGTCGAAGGCGGCGAAGGGTCCGGGGACGGCGGCGGCGGCGGCGGCGGCAGCTCGGCGGGCTCCAGCACGGGGCCTGGCGGCGCGACGCTGTCACTGGGCGCCTGTTGTCTGGCCTTGCTGCAGATTTTCCGCTCCAAGAAGTTCCCATCCGACAAGCTGGAGCGGCTGTACCAGCGTTACTTCTTCCGCCTCAACCAGAGCAGCCTCACCATGCTCATGGCAGTGCTGGTGCTCGTGTGCCTCGTCATGCTGGCCTTCCACGCGGTGCGGCCCCCTCTCCAGCTGCCCTACCTGACCGTGCTGGCGGCTGCCGTGGGCGTGATCCTTGTCATGGCCGTGCTCTGCAACCGCGCAGCCTTCCACCAGGACCACATGGGCCTGGCCTGCTATGCGCTCATCGCCGTGGTGCTGGTCGTGCAGGTGGTGGGCTTGCTGCTTCCGCAGCCGCGCAGCGCCTCGGAGGGCATCTGGTGGACCGTGTTCTTCATCTACACCATCTACACGCTGCTGCCCGTGCGCATGCGGGCTGCGGTTCTCAGCGGGGTGCTCCTGTCTGCGCTGCACCTGGCCATTGCCCTGCGTACCAACGCCCAGGACAAGTTCTTGCTCAAGCAGGTAGGGGCACACATGGCTGCACCGCATTGGGCTGGTGGTGGTGGGGGTGGGGGTGGGATCAGCAGGCCTGGTGCTGACTCCAAGGGAAGGGTTGGGGTTGTCATCTGCCTCAAATGGGGCGCGAAGAGCCTGGGACACGTGCCTTAGCTCCAATAGCATCATTTATAAACATTTAAAACATGTTGCCCTTGCATTGTTGTTGATCCTGCTGGCCTGACTGCTGAGGCCTATAAGACTGTAATTGCCGGTGTGGGGATGGGAGTTGCAGGAAACAAGTGTATGCAGAGGCCCTGGTCTGTCCTCGCACGTCTATGCTTTCATACTCCAGTGGCTGGTCATCCCACCCCAGAGCAGCTTCCCTCCTAACAGCCACTGCCTGTGGGTTGGTCCTGGGAGCTGGAGAGATCCAGGAACCACTGCAAATAGAACTGAAAAGTTTTGTTTTCCTTTTCCAGAAGTGCCTGAATCCCACGACTGCCTTGAGCAAGAGTGTTGAGAATTGTCTGAGATCTGTGTGTTGTGTGGTGTATGTCCTTCTCGCCGAGCACAGATCAACTGTTGAACATCTTGAGCCTGGCAGCGGGAGGCCAAGGGCTTTTGGTGGTTGCCCGTGGTGGGGGGGCTTTGTGTTCCTGGTAGGATTTGTTGGGCCAGCCTAGGTGTGGGCATTCAGGAGGAAGGAAACCTTGTATTGGCGAACAGGAGGGGAGGGCTCTGCCGAAGGCTTGGGAGGGAGGCCTGCTTGGCGCAGGGACCTGAGACAGCCGTGCTCATGTCCAGTTTCATGACCCCTGAAGGCCTTTGGTTTGCACCTGCTCCATGGACAGGGCCCCTTGCTGTGGGCACGTCTTTTCATGATGGACCCAGCTGGCCACCCCTAGTCCCCTCCTGGTGCCTAGCCCCTTTCTTCTGGAAGCCCTCGGGGGCGTCCATCTCTGCTGCCTTCCTCTCTCCTGCTTCTAATGCCTTGTGTCCATGTTTGCTCCTCTGGAAGGCTGTGTCCACCCAAGGTGTCTTCTCGAGTCTCCTGACCTTCTTGAACACGGTACAGTCCCATAGGGAGTGGTTCTGGTGTGGCTGACCCCTGCAGGTCCTCTGTGAGTTGGAGGAAGGGCACTCTGCAGCTCCCTGGAGCCCAGGTCCCTTTTGTAGAGAATGTTTCAGCTGCTTCCAGTTCAGGCTGCACTTCCTCTAAGAAGCCCACACTGGGCTCCCCCTCTGCTCTGTGTCTTAAGATTGAGTTGGAAGCACAGAGTGGAGCACTCAGTCTCCAGAGCCTGCTGGTCTTGTGTCCTGTTCAGTGTGAGGTCAGGTGCAGGAATCCTGGGGGCATGTCTGTTTCTCCCCTGCCATTCCCCCCCATGCTTGCCTAGCACCCAACAAAAGACTTTGTGGTGGAGGTGGGGTGGGGTGGGGTGGGATGGGGTGGGTAAGAACTGCTTACCAAGATGGTTGAGGTCTAATGGGTAGTGGAGTAGTTAATGCTGCCAGCTTAAAGTTGTTCTCATCTAGGATCAGAAGAAAAAAAACATCTTCAGAGGTCAGCTTTGAACTTGAGAGAAAGCAAGAGGGCTTTTGAGAGGTGGTGGTTAGTGCTTAGCAGGGCCTCAACTCTGAGGGTCTGAGGGCCCCTGCCACCCGACGGTGTTCTATTTCTGGGGAATGTTCCTGGCCTGGGAGGCTGCGGTGTGTCTGGAGTGGGAAGGGCGTGTCACCCATGAGGAGTAACAGGGATTCCCAGTGTAGCTCCGTGTGCTTCCTTAAGCTGGATTTGACCCTGTGCAGGGTCTGCTTATACCCTTGGCAATCTAGAATGTCTGATTTCAATGCAAGACCTAAGAAAGGGGTGGCAAGCGCAGTGTGGGGAGGCCCGCATTCTGTCTTAGCTGGACAGTGTCATTGCAGCAGTCCTGTCCGACTCCCTCCTCATCAGCTCCTTTTGACTTGTTGTGGTCTTTAGGCCTTGGTTTGGCTGCAGGATTTGGGGTGGATTAACCCTTCACAAATGCTACAAGACCTTTGAATGCAAACGGTCTTCCTGTTTGGCTTCAGAGAAAACTGTGCCTTTTTTTTTTTTGTACTTGATATACTTTTCTGATTATGCCTGAAGTAAAATTTGTCTTCCCTGAGTAAACTGCTGGGTGGTAAGAAAGTATTGGTGGGGCAGTTTGGCATTGAGCTAAGCCCCAGTTTTCCCTGGCAACCTTTCCAGAGTGGCTTTGAAGTGCCTGTCTTATGCTTTCTTTGATGAAGACACACATGTCCCAGGGAAGGGTGTCAGTGAATAGTTTGCAATGTGGGAGCCCTAGGAGATCCCTCTGCCATGCCTTGAATGCCTAGTAGGACCTCAATACACCTGAGCACACAGTAGGTCCTCAGCACACCCTCCTGCAGGGCTGGCCTCCTTCCTTTCTCAGCCCAGGTGTCTCATCTGTAATTTTTTTGTTCTTCTCTAGCCCTCTTAAGATTGGAGACGCAGCCCTTGGCTCTAATTAGCAGAAATGTGTGGCTTTCCGTGGGTGCCTCCTGTTAGGGGAGGCCAGGGGCTCAGCCCTTTTTTTCTGGGGTGATGCTTCTTCTCTGCTCACTGTCTCTAGCTTTTGTACCTGGCCTGGCTTCCCTTACTCTGCTCTGCTCACCCTCTCTCTCCGCCTGCTCCTATCCTTCCTTCCTCCCCAACTCTTCCCCTCCTGCTCCGCTCCAGACCCCTGTTGCTGTATGCCCACCTCTCTGTCCCCCTGCCTTTCTGCCTGCTCTGTTTTCCCCAGTCTCAGCTTGCCAGTCTCCCTGTCTCCTCTCTGTTGGATAGGGTACAGTAGGGAGCGTCACGGGGGTGTCATTTGCTCCTCCTTTGCCTGTCAGAAGTCCCTCTGCTACACCCATACCATAAATAACACTCGAGCATCTGCCAAACACATTCCTCACTTGTGTTAATAGGCTGTGATGATGCCGGAGCCTGTTGCCATGACAACCGTACTTTTGTTTGACTGTCTCCCACTCTGCCATGGAAGGCTCTGCATGCACTCACACACAAACAGGCACACTCGCACAACTATTACCTGTGCTCTGCTGTTGATGATGGCTTGGGGAGTGATAACATCTCTTGGCTAGGCCTGCGGGTGGGGCTATAGTGAGTGACAGGGTTCCTTGCAAAGACCAGACACTGCTGCAGACCTGGGGTCTTCTTGTTCTTTACACATTAAGCCTCAGAAACTTGGTTTCTAAGGGAGTGACTCTGAGTCCCGTGGGTCCCTGTGGGCTTGGGGGAGCCAGGGGAGGTTGTTCCTGGGTGTGGGGGTGACCTGCTTTTCCCCTCATGTCTTTCTCTGGCTCCTCTGTTCCTGTGTTTCTTCCTGGATGCCCGTGTGAACCCGTGGTTGTTGCCAGTTGTTCCAGTGATCAGTGTGGCACAGGCACTTGTGTGGGTGATGTTCTGTGGCTGTGAGCACGTGTGTGTGCTGCAAGGACTCAAGACAGGGTGGGGATGTTGCTGCCCAGGGGTGTACGCATGCATGTGAGTGTGCATGTGTTTGTGTCTGTCTGTCCCATGATGCTGGGGCTGGACTCCAGGAAGCCTTTGTGTTAACTCTGAAAAGAGATCCTTGCAGCTCCGTCCTGTTTATTCCTGGCTGGTAGTTGGATTCGTATGGCAGTTTGTCTTGCTAATTCTGGAACCTTAGTTTCTCTTCTGACCTTGACCTCTGACTCTTCAGGGAAATACCCTGAATGCACTTCCTCCTCCCAACCTCCGCTTCCTTCAGGCAATTAGGAGTATGCTTGGATGGGCCCCTCTCCCCATCCGTCCCTTCCAGGAGCTTTCCTGCTGGCCACCTGTGTAGCAGGTAGTGAACCTTGAGGAGGACCTAACCCTTGGCTTTGGCACTCGGCCCAGAAACCTGTCTTGATATGTCACTGTGGTTGCCTGTGTGCATTGCTGGGCAGTGCGGAGAGGACACGCTTCCAATGGCCATGGTCAGAACATCTTCTGCCATTAGTGACTTTCCCTGTCACCTGCATTTCTGTATGGGAGGGAATCTGCACTTAGTGAACTCCCCTAGATGGCAGCAGCAGGCCTGGTGGGGCTGGAAGTGGGAGGAGAAAGGGGGTGGCTTTGAGGTTGGAGCTGGAGAGTGTTGCTGGTCTAGCGTCCGGGCTAAATGTGTTTGCCAGTGATAGTTGCTAATTGTTTTTGATTGCATTGGCTCCTTCTCCAGGCCACCAGAAGAGAAAGGTTGGAGGTGGTAGGAAGGGGCTTCTGGATGGGGGTGATCTTTGAGATTCCCATGAAGAGAACATCAGAGTGGTGGAGCACCTATATTTGCTGGAATATTCATTGTTAACACGTAGGCCTGGGTTTTGCTCTGTTAGGGAGAGCATGAGGTCTGTGTGAGTGTGTACTTGTTTGTACAGGGGACACAGATGCTTGTATTGAGTCCCACCAGGGAATCCGCCTGTGTCATGGAAGGGTTTTATGTATCAGCATAGATAGGGGCAGCTGTGTGGTGGTGCAGCAGCTAAGCTGCCACTTGGGATACTTGCATCCTGGGTCGGAGTATATGTGTTGGAGTTCCGGCTCTGCTTCTGACCCAACTTCTTTTTAATGCACACCCTAAGAGGTAGCAGGTAATGGTTCAAGTTCTTGGCTCTCTGCCACCTGTGTGGGATACCTGGATGGAGTTTTAGGTTCCTGACTGGCCCAGCCCAGGCTGTTGTGGGCATTTGGGGAGGGAACTAGTATCTGGAAAGTCTCCTTTCTCACTTTCTCTGTCTCTTTTTCAAATGAATAAGAGTTTTTAAAAACAGTCAATGTAATCAACTTAGGTATAAACTCTCCTGTGTAGACAGAAGGTTCGCGGTCACAAGAGCCTCTCTCAGAGAGGACAGTTGACAGCAGAGGAAGGACTGTGGGCTGTGCTCAGGCCAGGCCTCCTGTTGATCTCAGAGGTGTGTGTATGCGGGTGGTGGGTAAATGGAACTGCCTCCTCTTTTCCAGTCCCAGG